CTCAGGAGGTTCCACTGCCACAACGGCTGGAGCGGCCACCACGTTCCCTGGGCTCAGCGTCCTGACCAGTAAGGCGCTCTTAGCATGGGTCATTTGCAGTAAAATGTTGGCCAGGTTCATTTTCTTTTATTCCTCTGCATCCTTCTCCTACCCCCTAGCCCCCTCCACCGCTCCTGGGGAGGAGTTCAAAGAAAGTCACTAGCGCCTGCTTTGAACTGGATTTTGAGTTTGTCTGAGGGTGTCTCTGGATCTTAAAGGGGTTTTGGTGCCTACTCAAGCCTCTGGTCATACCAACGAAACCTGACTGCTTCCTTGAAGCGTTTTCATCTTTCTTCCTCATGGCCCAATCTGTCTGTCTAGGCCAAGAGGCATCCCCTCCAGAGATCCCACCCTCCTCTCTCCCCGTCTTCCTCCTCCCCTCCCCTTCATTTCTAGCTGGGGAGTTTGGGGAGTGACCCCATCTCCGGGAAGTCTGAGGGCAGGAAATGAAGAGAGGACAACAGGCTCTGGTTCTCCTTAAGGACCAGAATCAGTGTGGGTGGTGGGGAGGACAGGGGATCAGAAGGAGAGAGCGGACAGACACGTCCACAGGCGTTAAGGAAGAGGCGTGGACTAAAGCCCTTTTAAAGCCCCTCTGCTGAGATCCTGCTCCCAAGATGATAGGAGGGAATGCCACAGAGAGGTGTGGCCTTAGAGCCACATGGGCATCAGAGTCACAGAAAGAAAGATGGAAAGTGACAGAAGCCAGTGACAGTATGGGGGGGCTGGAGTTGCCTCCTGCCTCAGTCACTGTCCTTCTCTTTGTGTCTCAGGTCTGAAACCTCAGAAGAAGGACTCTGTCCCAGACTGGGCCATCGTGTTGATCACACTCACTCTGGTGGCAGCAATTGTCAGCCTCATGTATGGTATCAAGAAGGTGAGTGAAGCTGCGATCCAAATGTGTGGGTTCCCAAGGCCTGTGGGGCTGCGACCTGATGCCTCAGAACTCTGAAAAGACCAGGGCTTCAGGGAGAAGGATGACAGCTTTCCACACTTGGCAGTAGTGGAGAAGAAACCCTGATCTGAGCAGCTGAGAGTAAAATTAGCCTGGTAGAGATGGGGAGCTGGGGCCACTGCAAGAGAGGCTGAGGGTGCTGGAGGTTGGCCACCCCATGGAAGCACTAAACTCAGTTCTAGGCAATGAAGAACCAACTCTGCAGCCACATTAACCTGGTTCTGAATCCTGATTCTGCCACTACAGTTGTGTGACCTTGTGCAAGTTTCTTAACCTCTTTGTGCTCCAAATTATTCATTAATAAAAATAACTAATATTTCAATAGCATCTGTTATGTGCTAGGTGCTGCACATATTTTAGTTCATAGCAACCTAGTGATATAGGTAATATTATTACCCATCATTTTATAGATAAGGTCATCAAGTCCTGGACAAAATGAGAATGATAGCATCCATCTCAAAAGATGGTTCGGAGGCTCAAATGAGCTTATGCATATAAAGCTCTTAATAATGCTTGGCACATAGTAAGTGCTCAATATACGGTCTTGTTATTATTGTTTTTTGATCAAAGAGAAACACTGAGTGCCTAGGTTGTCAAGGTGGGCAGCAGTCCATGAGAACAGCTCAGGGCTGGACAGCAGGTTCCCAGGCTCCTCAGTTAACAAATCCTATCTATCCTCTATCTCACAGGCCTGCCAGTTCCGGAGGGAGATGAGACTGGGGTGTGGCTGTGGCTCTGTGACCCCTTACAGCTGCTGCCATAAAGCCACCAGCCAGCGCTACTCTGTCAAATGAAAGGTGGAGCCAGGGTAGCCTGTCCTTTGGCCTTCCTCTTTCCTCTCCCAATTAAACACATACTTAGACTCACCTGTTCCATTCACCCTAGCTGAGACCATTTCCTGTGGTAGATTCCTGAGGACCCTGTCTCCCCAAGTCTCCTCCACCAACAGCGTAAGGGGGAGTCCACCATCAGTCAGGACATTCCAGTCCTTGTCCTGCTGCCAGCCCTGTGGTCTGGGGAAAGGCACCTGACTTCTCTGACTGCAGGTTTCTCATCTGGGAAGGAAGGGCCAGAGCTAGAAGTCTGCAGGGAAGCCTTAACCCCTTGTTCTTTTTCCCCCATTCCTGTTCCCTTCCCAATTATCAGAGAAGTTCCTTAACTGAGGACACTCTGCTCGGGGATCCCCTTCACATCTCCCTTCATAGAGAACCCCCTCAGGCTGGCTTCCAACTCGCTAAGACCCCAATTCTCTCCCCTCAGGACAGGTGAGGAACCTCCTGTCCCCTGTGATGCCTCTTAGATGCCCACTCTGGGAGGGTGCTGGTCACAGTTCTTGCTGAATAAAATGGCTCTCCCCCCACTTGTCTCCCAGCCACTGTGTATTTGCCCAAGTTCATGGGCTTTGTCGTCGTGCAAGCATGGACAGACCAAGTCTGGTCTCTGCCACTCATCAGGTATGTGGCCTTGGGCAAGCCACTTCCTGGATCTGAGGTTTGTCTATTCCCATTTGTGAAATGAGGATGACAGTACCAACCTCATACATTCTTCAGTACTCAGAAATGCCCCAACTCTGGTAGTTAGTAGGGTTGTCTCATCACTGGATCCTCAGCTCAGACAAAACAACATTGACTTACTGTAAGAGACCATCATCCTATCCCTGGATTCCTCTACCCCAGATGCCTGGACCCTTGGGGTGGAGTTGTAGCTAAAAAAGAAGGGAAGAGGATGTTCATTTACAAATAACTAACACTTATTCTAAAGCAGAGATTCTCAACCTTAGCATTACTTATGGACTCGACTGAATAATTCTTTGCTGTGGAGATGGTTCTGTGCATTACAGATGTTCAGCAGAATCCAGGGGGCCTCTACCCTCAAGATATATGTAGCACACCCCTCCAAGTGGTGACAAGAATGTCTCTAGAAATTACCAGTGTCTCTTGGGGTGGGGGGTGGAATTGCCCCTCCCTGTAGAGAAACACCGTACTAGAGGCCTGGGTCCCTGGGGAAAGGGTTGGGTAGGGGACTAGTGAAAAAGAGGATTGTCAGCCATCCCTGAGTCCAAATGGAGTTGTAGGGAATGGCCTGTTTCTGCCTCAGTTTCCCTATCCTGCAGGCTGTATTTCCTGGGAGGCAGGCTGCCCAGTTCTGAGTAGTGAGCCTTTGGCCTGACTTCATGGAACCTCATTAATCTCCCATTAATCACATTAATGAGCAGTTGACCACCTCTCCTCTTCCCACCTATTCCAGCCCTGCCCAGGGCTTAGGTATGAGTCACGCCAAGTAATGAGAGGAACCCATATGTGCAGTCCTCTCATGAGCTCAACTGTCCCAAGGCCCTGGCTTCCTGCCCTCAGGTCCCAGCCTCTCTGCTCCCTCCTCCTGCCCCACTTTCCTCAGAAAGTCAACAGCCAGCTCTGGTTTCCACTCCATTCAGGCAAGTAAAAATTTCATATTGCCTACTGTGTGCCAGGCATTGTTCCAGGTGCTGATGACACCACAGTGGTTGCTGCAAAGACCTTGTCCACAGGGTGCTTATTTCCATGAGGGGTACCCACAGTGAGCAAATAAGTGAGCACTAGAGAGGAGTGGTGACTTTTTTCTCCTAGAGCCCAGGGACTCTGTCCTTCCCTGCTTCAGCCCCAGCCATTGTCACTAGGGAGACAAGTGATGTCTGGAGCTAATGCTTGTTTAGGTAAGAAGGGAAGGGGGAACTCCCAAGACCACCTAGAAACGAGATATCTGCATTTCTGTATAGGGGTGAGTGGGAGCTTTGAGGCAAAGGGAAGGCTACTGGGCTGAGGGGGGAGGAGAGGGAGGAGCAGAGTGAAGGCAAAAGCTCCTGTACACTGAGCATCTCTCTTAACGTGTCTCTGGGCAACCTGAGCAGTCTGTGTCTCTGGTGGGGAGTGTGACATCTGTCCCTGGGGTCCTGTGTCTTTCTCATCTCTGTCACTGCCTTTGCTGTCTCCACATCTTGCTGTATCACTCTGGACATCTCACAGTGCCTGTCTCTGCAGCAGGGGTTATGTGAGGGCTTTCTCCTTCTTTGCTCTTTCACCTGGTCTCGGTGAACAGCTCCACCCAGGGTGGAAAGAGTAGCCATGTGTGAGTAAGGGGTGTGGAGAGCTGGGCTCATGCAGGAGAGGCAGGAGGGTACACATATAGCTGGAGATGGATCAGAATGTGAACCCCCACCCTGGCCAGAGCTCAGTCCTTCCAGAACCCAGTCATCTGCTCCCCACCTCCCCAGAGCCCTGGAGGCCACCCCACCCCAGCTCTTCCCTTCGCTGGGGCTGGGTCAGGAATCTGCCCCCTCCAAGTTCCTTCCCCTGCCCCCAGATTCCACCCCCTCAGCAGGCACCCAGATACCTGGCTCCATGACGCAGAGTCAGCTGTTATCAGGGCACTGCTGTGGGGTGGGGTGGCTCCATTTGTTTAAGGTTTAATCCTGAGGAGCCCCAGCCCCCATGACGTCAAGCCTGGCCCCATATAAGGTAAGGGGTCCCCAGTCCACGGTCCCTAGGCAGGCCCCCAGCTCCAACATGGCCCAGCCGGCCCACAGACTCTGCTCTACCTCTGGCTTCTGGTGCTGTCTCCTCTTCCTTCTAGCATCTTGGGAGGCAGGTAAGATGCTTTCAGGGATGATCTTATGCTGGGGAATAGAAGACACAGAGGGCTTGATTTTTGTATTCATAAGGTTGGATGACCCATCATAGACATAACTAAAGAAGGTGGGCAGGGGGCTGCTGCATACAGTTGTCTAGGTTGTTCACTGCTCAAGTTTGCTGGCTAAGGACATGTAGGAGATGAAATCCAGTGTGCACTCTGCTCCTTAAGACACAGCTTGTAGGACTAGACCCACTCAGAGGGGGTTTCTTCAGGTTTGCATAAAGACACTGTAAGTTCTGACAACTTGGATGGGCAAGAGTGGAGACTGGACATTTATTGAGCACCTGCTGTGTACAGTTAGGGAACTTGCAGATGCTCATAGTGCTTCATTTCTTTTCATCTCCTCAACAGCCCCTGAGGTGTTTAATAGTGTCCCATCTTATAGTTGAGGAGAGTAGACTCAAAGTGGCAAAGGGGCTTGCCCCAAATCATGTAGCTAGTGGGAGGCAAGCAGGGTTTCCATCCCACATTGCCTGCTGCCTTGTGAGGGTTTCAGGGGAGCTTCTCTCCTGAGAGTCCTGCACTGGGTAGACCTAGGTGCCAGTCCTGACTCTGACCCAGAGTCAGGTCTTCTATGCTATCTGTAAAGTGGGAAGGACGCTGCCCTGCTGATAACAATATTTGATGCCTACTGAGCATTTACTATGTGCCATGATGACTCAGCAAAGTATGTGTCAAAGGCCCCATCCCTAGCTTGCAGCTAGGAAATGTCCCAGGGCTTTGATGAGAAAATGAACATGGAAAAGCTTGATGAACAAAACCGACCTACAGATAAGAAGAAATTGCTAAATTAGTTCACTTTGTTAAGAATCCATCAGTGGCTGAATGCAGGGAACAGAGATGCCAACACAGGAGAAGATAGGGGGGCAGGGGTGGTGATTTGGAGGACAGTCTCCACAAGGTAGACATAGAATGGTAGGTTCAGAGAGACTCATTACATACTGGGTAGAGCCATTCATGAGTAGAGTCATCCATTGTAACGGCCTTCATGATGCGGAACCAGGGCTGGGAAAGTCATGAGTCTGGAATGCTTGGGGGCAGTATTTGGGGGCAGGGTAGGCAGACAGCATTTTCTCCTTTCAATAATTTAATTGGGGGTGAATTAGAGGCAGTGCTCCTTCCCTGAGCTCAGAGTCACACCAGGGCCAGAAAGGTCGAGGGCAGGTGGATGGTGGATGGCAGGGGCAGAGGTTGAGGAATCTTTGAGTGACCTCTGATAGATCTCAACAATTCATCCTGTCCATGCTCTGACTTGATGTCTGTCTGTCTCCCCCTACCTCAAGGGTCTGAGGACAGATGGACCAGAGCTCCTTCCCCTCCTCCATCACGCTAGTCTTTTCTTTCCCTTTTTGTCAGACAGACAACCTCTGGTTGCTCTCCATCCCTTCTGTCTTGCTACAGCTCAGGGGAAGATTTACTCCAGGGCAGAGAGGAGAGGCACAGGCTAGACTTGAGATCTGAATTCCCCAATAGACTGGGACAGCAGTGACTCCTCAGGGCCTCCGTGTGAGGACATGGTTGGGGAGATGCACCAGAACTTGGTGGGACAGGTGGAGGAACGAGTGGGGGAGGGCAAGAGGAGATAGATGTTTCCATTCTGCAGAAAAGAGCCAGAACGAGTGGGGAGGGCTTGAGGCTGGTGTGAGATTACAGTAGGATTGGGGTGGGACTTAAGTTTGGGTCAGGGTTGGGTGCGTGGCTGCATCCAACAGAGAGTGGGGCCAGGGAAGGGAGAGAAGAAGGATGATTGGGATGCATGAAGCCCTGTAGCCCAGTGTTCTGGGGTACCCCTGTCATTTGTCCACAGGACCAGTGAATACCCAGGCTCAGATAACTAGATCCTGAAAGCCCAGAGCCTGCATCATGTGATCACATAACCACATGTGCAGAGTCTAGATTAAATCATCTGCAGGAAGCACAGGTGGGGCAGGAGATGGGAATTGGGGCTGGGGTCCCGGAGAGAATCTAACAAGGACATTTTCCTACAATAATTACTCTTAAAATTTTATGACAAAATAATATATGCTCATTATAGAAACTGGAAAATTAAAAACATTTAGAAAGAAAACATTCTCTAGTCCCCAGGTGAATGTATTTCCCTTTAGCTTTCCTTTTTCTGTCTGTATTTTAGGTCACTAATTGAGCTAATACTGTATTGACATTTAACAAACATTTACTCACATTATAGCAAATGGAGTATGCCATTTTAGGGGGAGCAGGACACCAAGAAACACTGGAAGTTTCTTTTGGGTGAGGTTGCTCTGAAAGAGACTCCAAGGCATGAATTGCTTAGCAGGATGACCTTCTTTTCAAACAAGTGAGCGAAGCCAATGGAAGGATGGAAGAGACCCTTGGAATTGTAGTTTTGATGTTGTGGTATTTGCTTTATCTTTTTTTCCAAGTTGAGCATCCACTGGATGCACAGTGTCTTGTGCTAAAGTTGGATTTTTTCTCTCTGTATCCCTTGCCTATACTTCAGTGACCAAAATAGTTCTTTCCAGTTATTATTGTAAGTGAAATGAATATCTCATGGTGAAAACCTCCTAGGGAAATAAAGTCGCTACTGATGGTAGATCTTCTGGGGAGAAGAGATGGTCATCTTGTCCTGGAGGTTTAGGCACTGATTTGTCTCATGCCTGGGCTCAGGACCAAGGAATTCCTTTAGATTTTATCATCCATGGTTCCACAACTGTTCAATGAAGATCTGAAATTCTAAGATCTAGTTATCTGAGTCTAGTTATGGACTAAGCCTGTGGTTAAATGACAACCAGCATCTCAGGTCTTCTTTCAATACCTTTTCATCTCAGAGGCTCATTACTTAACATAGCAGAAGTCACTCCTTTGTCTTCCAGCCTGTGGAGATCACAAATATGTTTATTTTTTCCTTACTAATGTGCATAATGAAAAGCTGTTGGCAAGCCTTCTAAAGAGTTTTCATCAATCTTAAAATATTTTTTCATTCATTCATTCAATACATATTTATGAAGTGCGTCTTATGGGCCAGGCATTGTTGTAGGCTGGAAACATAGCAATGAACAAAACAAATAAAAATCCCTGCCATTGTGAAAATTAAATTGGATGTATTATATGTTAGATAGCAGGGAAAGTGGCCCAGGAATGCAGGGGGCTGCTGTTTTGAAGACAGTGGTCAAGGTAGACCTCAGAGGGGGATGAGCAGGCAGGAGGGCAGGGCCACAGCTCAGGCTTCCCTTACTACTGGGAGAAAGACAAAGCAAAGCATGAGATTGTTTCTAAGACAATTCGGATTCAGCAAACACTTTAAAGATCTTCCATGCTCCATTCTTCTTTTCATCCTCACATGAAGCTGGTGCCGTCGACATCATGGTCATTTACAGTTGGGAACATGGAGCTCCAGAGCAATTAATTGACCTAAGAAAAGATGTAGAGCTGGTGAGGGACAGAGCCTGGACTCCAACCTCTCCTGTCATATTTAAGAATGGTGGAACTTGCCACTCTGTGCTGATGCCTGCTTATTTATTCACTCAGTGAATATTTATTCAGCCCTTATCATGTTTAAAAGCATCTGAGTGCAGTGATAAGTCTGACTTTGCCAATTACTTAACCTCTTTGAACTTTCTTTCCCCACCTGTAACACAGTAAGATTATAAGTCTCGCTTCACAGGTTCATGGCAAAGATTAAATAAACAAATATATGAACTGCATCCTTCAGGGGGTTCTACAGACTTTAGGGTCCTTCTTTCTCAAGAGACTGGGTTGAACTATAGGCTGTGCACTGTGGTCTTAACCAGGGATGTGGGCCAAGGAGCCCGGAATGTGTGTTCAAATTCTGTCTCAACCTCTGACTTATTGGGTGTCCCTGAGGAAATTACTTAACCACTCTGAACCTTGTTTCCTCATCTATATAGGTGGGAGAATAGTGAATAGTTGTCAATCACAAAGAGTTCTTGTGAAAACTAAATGACTTAATATGTTTCCTCACTTGGAAGGCCTGCCTGTCTCATAATAAGTGTTCAAAAAAGGTTGGTCATTGCTATGGCTGTGGGACTGTATACAAGTCACCTTTCCTCCTTGAAATTCAAGTTTCTCATATGTAAAACAGGGGAGGTTGACAGCTTCTAAGGAGCCTTGTGGGGAGTTGGGAGATCAATCACCATAGAAGAGAATCTGGAAAGAGATCATCTGTGAGGCAACCAGTCAAGCACCTGGCTCAAGGAAGGTGCCCAATAAATAATAGCTATTACTGGTATTGCTGCTGAGGGAATGGAACTGGCACGGCAACTAAGGGCCTGATAATTTGGCTCTCCTCTCTCCCCTAACCCTGATTCCCTTCTGAGAACTTGGGCTTCTCTATTACCCTCACCCCCTTCTTGTCCCACTCCAATTTCTTTTGAGGACCAAGTTCCCCAGCCTCTGATTCTTTTCTTCAGCTGGGAGGTGGGTGGACTGTAATTTCCTGTGATCTGGAATGGGTCCAGGTCCTGGGTGCCGCCTTGAACTAACAGAGTGGAAATCTCAGTTATGTACAACAGTATCTCTCTCACTCCTTGGTGATCTTTTGCTTTCCCACTCCTGGCCAGATATCAGAGACATCTCCTCTGTCCCCACTGGGTTGTTTTTCCAGATTTAAGGCCCATATCTGTCCACTGATAGGGGTGTTTTCCTTCACACCCTGTCCTTAAACATAGTCCCTCCCAGAATCTGACTGCCTTGTTTACTCCTGTCAGGACCCCCAAACAGATATATTTTTCATTCAAGAGGGCTTCTTTCATTTACTCTCAGATGGCTTTAAGTGTGTGAAGAGGGGGGAC